TGTTATCAAACAATTTTATACTAAATAAGACATTAAATTAAAAGTCATGGACTCTATAATGCAAAGCAAGAAAAAAAATATTTTTGAAAATTGTTTGTTTAGGAGCTCATACATGTATATGGTGACCCTTAAGCTTGTTTAGGGTCTACAAAAATCCAAGTAGAGATTCAATCAACATTTCCTCAAGCTGACATCTAAAAAGCACCAGAATAAATAAAAACCTTAGATAAAAATAAATAAATTAGAACATATCCTTTACCTTCTTCATGTGGATTGATTGTTGATAATCTGAATATATAAAGTTAGGGCTTTATCATTGATTGATTCCAAAATAGAAAACTACAAATGTATAATAAAAAGTAGAATCATCAAAAGAGGAGGAGAATGATGATAAATAAGGTGAAAGAAACACTAAATTGAAGCAACAAGAAGGAAAAATCGAGAAGAAATTGGGAAAAACACATTACCATAACTTGGGCTTTCATAGACTTATCTTTCCTGTAAAATACTATTGAACCACTCAACCTGGAAAAAAAAGGTAGTATCAATCTAAGTTTTTTAAAGAGTATAAAAAAACAAAAAATAAGAGCAAAACATATATACACTTGTAGATTATTTATATGTAGATACCCCTTTCTTATGTTTTTTCACTAACTTGAAAGAATAAGACGATGTTCAGTGTGGTCGATTAAAAAAGTGGTCATACTCACTTCCTGTTTTGTTATCTCTCAAGCATTTCCAATTTTCCACTAACACTTTATATTCAGTTTCATTGTTGGTACAATCACATTAGAGTATCAATATTTAACGTGGAAAATAGATTGATAATTACATGTATGATCACCAGAAAACAAACAAAAATAAAAAAGATGAAAAGAAAGTAGTTATCACCGCCAATTTGCTAGGATCAAACATGGTTTTTTCAAAATATTATCTTGAAGGATGAAAACTTATATCCTGAAATCTTGTTCATAGAATCCTAGAAACATGCAAAGAAGATATTCGACTCAAAACCCAATGAAAGATAGAGAGTGTGTGCAAAGGCGAGGCTTCAACAATTAACCGATTGTAATTTTCTCTACACCATTTTCACAAAAACAAACCTAAATAGGACTTATTTTAGAAGGAAGAACGAAATAAAAAAAATAGGAAGCGTTTAATGGAGGGTGACGCTGGAGGTGCAGGCCATGTGGGAAGTGATGGCGGTTGGAATAGCAAAGCAGAGAAATGCAAATAAGAGTAACATAGGTATAGCATTATAAGATAGAATAAATGAATATATAGTGGGAGGTTGTTGGACAGGATATGGAATGGGTAATTCTTGGTTAACGAATTCAATTTATAGATAACTCTACAACTTAATATGAGATATTTAAGGAGCTTGATAAAAACGTGCATCATGCTAGTTTTTACTTTTGACCTGACCAAATAAGATTTTCATGCATAAAGTGGTTGTATTAGATGCTTTAAAGGTAATACCTCTTAAAATTCAGCATTTGATGCTAAATGCTTATTAAGGTGTGTGTGTACACACACTAGGTTTAAAACCCATGAAAACCACGGTTCGAAAAACATTATTCATAATTTCAAATTGTAACAACTATTCACATATTTGCAAAAAAAATATTAATTTACAAATGTAGATTTTTATTTGTAAGTTTATAATAATTAATTAAATTTAATATATACATTGTTATGAGTATCTATATACGTTTTGTATGTTTAAATATTTGATAAAATCATGATTGTTTACAATGCAATATAAATTTAAACGGACTATAAAAATTGTAATAATTAATCATGAACTTGCAAACAAATATTTTTATATAAAATCAGATGTTTTGTTCATAAGTCTATCATCATTGTTTTTAATTAATATGTAATATGGTTTCAAAACATTTGTAAGTCTATAATCTTTATTTATAATTGATAGGTTAGAAACCCCAGTACTACAAGGATTGATAATTTAAAAAAGCATATATGATCCATAAAGCGACTTATCATTAAAGGTTTGATAACAAATTCAAATCTATGTAGATAAATAAAAACTAAGAACCAGCCAATGGACACCTTTTACAGCCATAAAAATAAAATGTATGAGAAAAATTAAAACTAATGAGACATAGGTGAATAGGGTTAATGACATTAAGTTTAAGCTCTTTAGAAATAAAAATTGGACATACTCATGATAACAACCACAAACATGGAGGATATTCTTCTAACAACCCCAAAACATAATGTAATCCAACAAAGCTAAATGTAAGAAAACTACAAAATCGCAGTAGATTCTTCAAAATTTCCAATTGTTGCAATAAACAGTTAAATAAAGCAAGCAACCAAGGAGTTTAAGATCTTAAATTTTTAAATGTTGAGAGCATGTATGTCACACCTCGAAAACCGATGGTGGAAACATTTCCGGGGTGGACTCCACGTTGAGTATCAAATCCAATGTACATAGTAACACAGTAAACATAAAACATTACATTCCATAGAATTGTTTACATCAGTTTGAAAGAAAAGTTATACAAGTGTTATATACATATATTATATGAACACAAAATAAAGACGAGTTTTCTAACGCTCCGTCTTCTCCAAAAGGTGGCGGTGTACCTGTCTAATGCTGACCTGGGAATACAAGCAGTTTGAAAATCAGCATAAAACTGGTGAGTTCATAAGCGGTCTTGTTTTGAAAAGAATGAGATCCCTTTTTGTTTTCTGAAAAAGTTGTTATCCAAGAAAATCCCATATTTTCTTATGTAAAAACAATTTACTTATCATTTCGTTACTTAATTCGTTTACGAGTAATCCCATATTTTCCTAAGTATTTATCTACCCTTTTGATACTCAATTAGTAGTTTAGATTTCGAAGTACTAGTAACTACATTACTTATAGTAATTGTTAAGTATTCTGATATCTTAGTTATCCTACATTCGATTGTTGATTATCTGCTATACTTAGAGGTATTTTCGAATATTTGGATTCACTCAGAAGCATACATTAACAGTATTTTCGAAGTTCTGGTGATTTCCAAAAGAGTACCTTAGACGTATTTTCGAAGCTCTGTTGACATCCTAAGGCGTATGCATTCGAAACTCAGTCGATGTCCAGAGGTGTATTGTCAAATGTATTTCGAAACTCTGGTGACACCCAAGGGGTACACTAGTTGTATATTCGAAGTCTTGGCGTCATCCAAAGGCGTGCATTCGTATTCGTATTCGTATACCTATTCCTATTCCTATTTGTATTCGCATTCGCATTCGTATTCGTAGTCGTAGTCGTATATCTATGCTATTCCTATTCGTATTCGTATTCGTATTTGTATTTGTTCTATCCTATTAGTTATATTCGTATTCGTATTCGTTCTATCCTATTAGTTATATTCGTATTCGTATTCGTATTCGTTTTATCCTATTAGTTATATTCGTATTCGTTCTATCCTATTAGTATTAATCTTAGTTTATGATTAGTATGATTCCTTATACAAAACATAATATGAAACTTAGATTATAACATCTATTAAGGGAATCTACATTTAGTTTGACAATTTACTCTGCAATTCGAACCAATGGTTAGTACGATTTTCGGTATTAAAAGTATACATAATATGAAACATTTGAACAGAAAATAATAAGTTTAAGTACAAGATTCCCTTGAAACAGTGAAAAACATTGAAAAACATTTGTATCTAATTAGGGCTTGAATTATTTATTAGTAAGGGACAAAGACTTCTAATCGCGAAAACACTCTGTTGCAAGCGTTTGGAGGGACCCAGGTGGCATTTGAGGACACATGAGGCTGGGATATGGAGTTTACTCTTCAAGAGTAAACTCATACTAGAGTTTTCGGCCCTAATGTCCCATTCCCCATGAGTTTACGACTGTAAACTCATGGTGGGGTGTTCTATGGTGAAAAATGGCTTCATATCACTTGAGGGAAAATTCTAGGGTTAGTTTCAAGGCATGGAAAAGTGAATTAAGCAATTTAGGGACCCTTTGAGGAGTTTACAGCAGTAAACTATATGTTTACGGCCATAAAATCTTGTACCCGTATCCAAAATGTTTCTTGATGGTTCTTAATTAATCATATGTGATTTCAAGCCATTTTACAAGTCTAGGGGTAAAATTTAGGCACCATTTGACATAGTTTTGGGAGTTTACGGCCCAGGAACCCTTTATAGGGGGGTTTACGGCCGTGAACTCCTGAGGGAGGTGTTTTCATTGAGTTTAAGGCTTCCAATACGTTTGTGGTTGCTTCTAGATTTTTGTTCAAGGCTTTTGGTGTGTTTAAATGGCAATTTAACACCTTAGAAGGAGTTTACTCTCCATGATAATGAGTTTACGACCCAAGCATGTTCTTGGGCAGTAAACTCATTTTTACTCCTCTAAATTGATGTTCAAGGTGTTCTAAGTCCATTTTGGTAAGCCCCTAAGTCATATCTAAGCCTCAATGGTAATGGTTATCCTAAATATGGGTTGAACGAATTCAAGGAGATAAGGATCCTTGAAATCGTCCAAAGGATAAAGGATAAGGGTTTTCAAGGCTTATCTTATGGCTGCTTTGTGGATAAGCAACTAGATAAGGATAATGACTGAAACCCTATCTCTAACCCTGTATAAAGACCCCTAAGGCCTTAGAATTCGTGCACTTGATCCCTAGAGCATCTAAGGACGAATTCTAACCTCTCTCCTCTCTCTTTATACCTTCTCCATTTGCTCTTGGTGTTTGTAAGCCATTAGAGGAGTGACACTTGTGACTCTAAGCATTCCAAAGTCAATTCAAGGAGGAATTAGGATTGTTATTGCTACATAACAATCAAGGTAATATCTTAAACCTAATTATATGTTAATATTGATTTCCATATGCTAGAATTAGGGTTTATAGTCTTGGATTCAAAGCATGTACAATAGTGAAACCTAGATCTAAGCATTAGGGTTTATATGAGCACATAGGATGTCTTATGACTAAAACCCATCATCATCGTCGATTCATTGCATACACCATGTATGACAAAGACAATGATTTCTTCAAATTATGTGTGAGAGATTTGAATTCAGGTTCTCTTTGTAGCAAGCCACAAGCTGATTGGGTCTGTAATGTGGCATGGGCTAAAGGGGGTCAAGCATTGCTATACGTTTTCACTGATCAAAAAAAGAAGCCTTACAGGTATCCTATATAAGTATATACAACTTTTTCTAAACTCTATATCTCTTATCTAATTTAAACATTTTATATTTCTTGTATATGATTTTAGGATATATTGTAGTATGCTTAGATCAAAGGATGAAGATGTGACACTCTTAGAAGAACCTGAAGAAAATGTGCATGTTAACATCAGACATACCAAGGATTTTAAGTTTGTGACTGTTTATGTATTTTCAACCACATATTCAAATGTATTATTATATACTAGCTTTAATTGTTTTTATTTCATTGATTTTTCTTTCAAGAATCATTCAAACTTCAAATTCTTTAGGTTTTTCTGATCAATGCAACTGATCCTCTATCTGGTTTAACACTTGTGTGGGAATGTGAAGCTTCTGCACATTGCATTATCGAGCATCATCAAGGCTATCTTTATCTTTTTACCAATGCTAACAAAGAAGGGCAATCAGTAAATTACCATTATATCCTTCGTAGCCCTCTTCACTCTTCAAGTCCAAGAAAGTGGGAGGTTAGACTTTCTTTTGATATATGTTGTTTTTTCTTAATGAAAAAAAAAGACTTTCTTTTTACCTTTTTTTTAAATGTTACAAAATGTATTTATTGATGACAATGATTTGGTGATTGAGGATGTTGACTTTTGTGACACATTTGGTGCTTATTGTTAAAGAAGGAGAAAGATTCAGGCTTTGTTCAGTTGCATTGCCTCTTCCAAGAAATAAGTTTTTTTTTTAATAGTTTTATTAATGTTATGATGATTCAGATTTCATATATTGTTATTTTTGTTTATTGGGTATAAAAATTTGAGACATTTTTGCCCTTTTGTCTAACAGGATGCGTTCCATCTTAAAGAGTTGGGATTACATTTTCTTCCTCTTCCATAATCTATTTCCCAAATCTCACATGGACCAAATTATGACTTTTATTCACCAATCATGCGATTTACAATTTCATCACCTGTGGTATGTTTCTGTTAAAATTTTATGACGAACAAGCCCTTACTTTTTGTTTACCATCTGAATTTGTTTTCTTTTCAGATGCCTAATGCAGTTGTTGATTATAATTTATCAAATGGGAAATTTGAAATCATTCAACAACAAAACCTGCTTCAAGAAAGAACATGTGTTTTATATGGCACAGCTTTTGTGGGACCCACAATAGATAATAAATCAAATAGTAATAACTATGGGGAGTCAAAGTCATGGAATGATCTTTCTGAGTTTTATGTTTGTGAAAATCATCAAGTGGTTTCTAGTGATGGAGTCAAAGTTGGTTTGACTATTGTTTATTCGCATTAAAGGAAAAAAGAAGGTGAAAATCCTGGATTGCTTCATGGACATGGTGCTTGTGGTGAGTTGCTTCATAAAAAATGGTGTAATGAGTCAAAAAGTCTTCTTGATCGTGGTTGGATTCTTGCATATGCTGATGTTAGGTTAGTTTTTTTTTTAATTATTAAATCTTGTTCTATAATTAATATTGTTTTTTAATATATTTATATAGGGGAGGGGATTATAACAAAAGGGAAAAATGAAAGAAACAACACATTTTTATTTTACTTTGAAAAAAGGTCATAAAAGACCTTATATATTGAGTTTTTTCTGGATAAACATCATTTTTTTTTCTTGAAGATCTTGTATTTTTCCATTTTTCCAAAAAAGCCCTCAATTTTTTTTTTCTTCCAAAAAAACCCTCTTTTTTTCTGAAAAAAACCCGCACATTTGACAAGTTTTTTGGAAAGTAGCTGCTAAAAGGGCCAAATTGAAAAAAAAATGAAAAATACAAGGTCTTTTTCTAAAAAAAGTAACATTTAAAAATTGTACTTTTCATAAAAAAATCTACTATAAAAATTTACCAAACTACAACACTTTTAATAAAAAAAAAATCTTATTAGAACATTCTACTTAAAAAATTGTTTACATTAATATAATTTAAAAAAATAATCGAAAGTACGTTGCTATTTATTGTATATAAGTATATAACCCAAAACAAAACATTATTATTATTTGTTTTTTTAATAGTTTTGTTGTATTTTCAGAGGTGGAGGTGGGAGAGGAAAGAAATAGCATGAGGATGGAAGAAGCATTAAAAAACAAAATTCAATTAATGACTATATTTCATGTGCAAAATTCCTAATTAACAATAAAATTATACATCAAAATAAATTAGCAGGTTGGGTAAATTGGTAAAATGACATATAATTCGTAAAATAACATATAATTTTTAATATTAGATAAAAAAATTAATAAAAAATTGATATACTCCTAATTAAAATATCTTTATCTTATATTATAATAAGAAAAAACGATTCATTAAATGTGTGTGTGGGATATCAAACTTCTATGTGAAAAGTAAAAACTACATAGGCACATGCCCGCTGTTTTTGTCTTTTATTTATTTGTTTATTTATTTTCATTAATGTCTTGATTTGTTTAGTCTTATGACTTGGATATCTGAGGAACTAAAGTTTAGTTGATGAACAAACCGATCAAAATTAATAGAAAGGTTTGAAATCAGATTGCTTAGAATGACCAAAAGATTAGAAATCAGATTGCATGCAAGTTGTTTGATCAAATGCCCGAGGGAGATTACCTTCTTTATATGTGATTAAATTTCCCATTTTTTAAAAAATTTAGCAAGTGAAGTTTCAATTTTACAATTAAACGAAAACAAAATCAACCGCTTGGACTTTTATTATTATTTTTTTTATAAGAATGTACGTTTTTCTTACCCGCCATTCCTGACATTGGACAGCTTGCATGTCCATGACACATGACAATATTAAATACATTAAATACATGTATTCTAACATCTCTGGCTTTTTGTTGTATTATAACAGATTCTACTTGGAGTGCCTCACAATTCCTATATTTTTTGTTGGATTTAATCTTCCCAAGGTGAATCTAAGTTCTAATATATTGCAACTAACATACTTGCAGTTTATATCATCTAAATATAAACTACATGCAAGGAATATATATAGTGTTTTTTTTGTTGCTGTTATTGACTAGTTTACCCTTGAGTATCCATTAATAAGATAATGTGAGTTAGTGGTTGTTAATGATTCAGATCTTTGCAATATGCTTTTGCAAGGCAATTTGTTATATTAGGCAGCCAACAGCTCCCTAACCCTTGTTCAGCTTGGTTTTAACTTTCTAATATAGTGTTCCTTATGATGGAATCATGGCTCATTCCATCACAACAGAAAAAAAAAATTGTTTGTTTTGGGGGATATTCGCATAAAAACCCTAAATTTTTTCAGAAAAATACGGTTTTACCCTAACATCACTTTTTGGTGGGTTTAGAGGGTGCTGCTTTCCCATAAACACCAACATCTGAACTCAACAACCAGATAAATTAGAAAAGGGTATAATGGGAAAACCAATACTTTTTTTTGATTTGGAATTGCTTCTTCATATATTTTTTTTAATGAACAAAAGGGTATAATGGGAAAACCAATATTTTTGTAAGTGGAAAGATAAATTAGAAAAGTGGATGATTAGCCTCTGGATGATGAAATTGTTTTGGAGTTAGACCAAATGGAGAAAGTATCTGATATAGAAGATATCTTGAGTTACAGGCCTGCTGCTGAACTTGAGCTTCAGGTATGATTATGATCATTGTTGTTAATATCTATTACATGTTCTTTTTACTTATACATTATGTTAAAGACTATGAACATGTAGGAGTTGTTGGTGGATTCAGCTTCTGGTTTTGGAAATAGTGAAGCATTATATATATATATATATATATATATATATATATATATATATATATATATATATATATATATATTATAGTTTACAAACTGTAGAATGTGTTCAGTAGTGAATCTCATTGAGACAAAATGGTAAATCTGCAGGTGGTTCAATCAATGTCATTTAGTAATATTTGGAATTACTGCCTTTGTAAGTTTGACTAAAACCTTCTAATTTTGTTTACTTTTTAACTTTGTTTTTGGTTTCATTTAGTAATAAAGTATCAAATATCAACAGTTATGTGGTAGTAATCCTTCTGATGGGGTGTTTGTTGGGCTGCTTCTTTCAATGTCATTAACAACAGTGGTAAGTAAAATCTTACTATTATGAAAATCTTTTGCTTAAACCTACCTTATTGACTTGTAGTTGATTAAACATTAATTTAATTATGCAGGTTTTGAATTTTTTGATGGAAAAGAATAGTGTTAATGCTCTTCATAGAAAAGTATGTTGGTAGTTTAGGAAATTTGGCTAATAATTTAGTTAATTATATAAAAATGTTGAAATGTTACATTTGTCTACTATTGGAATGATTATTGATGTATTACATTTGTCTACTATTGGAATGATTATTTGTATGACATTAACTTTTGTGCAATGTATTGTATTTTTTGTATTATGAGACATGAAATGCAAATTTAATTTGAAAATCAGTAAATCTATAAATAAATTTTAAAAAAAAAAAAATTAAAATTACGATACGCAAAATTGTGTGTCGCCTTCATTTATGACATGGCCTTTCTTGACAGGGGCTTTCTTGATACGCATTGTGTGTCATTAACACGCGTGTCATAAGGTTACGACACACGAATGCGTGTCGTCTTCCTTTATGACAGGGCTTTCCTTGATACACATTGTGTGTCGTAAACGAGCGTCATAATTGCGCGTCGTCTATATACGACGCGCAAAAGCGTGTCGTCTCTCTTTATGACAGGGCCTTCCTTGACGCGCATTTTCGCGTCGTCTAAGCCTTTTACAGCGCGCAATGAGCGTCGTAAAAGGCTGTTTTTCTAGTAGTATATATATATATATATATATGTGTGTGTATATATATATATATATATATCTACAAAAATGTTGGGTAAAACATTGGTAGATAGTTGATGTGTGATGAAATAAAATGATGAGAGGTTTCGATGTTATTGTGATCTAGTCATCTAGTGGATTATGGATGACGATCACGTCAGTGGCGGAACCATAAATATTTGCAAGGGGTAGCACAAAATAAAATTCCCGATAAAAGATAATAAGATAACTATTTAAAAATTACAATTTTAATATAAATAACAAACTACCGCAAAAGTCTGACATTTCAAAGTTGACTTCTTCGCTTACCCATTGTTTGAAAGCGCTCAATCACTTGTTCAATCTTAACATCCACAAGTGCTTCTTTTTCTAAACTACAAATCAAAGCATCATTCATAAAATCATCACCTATTTTATTACGCAAGTCGGTTTTCAAGAGCTTCATTGCGGAAAAATATCTTTCAACGGTTGCAGTTGCGACGTGCAAAACCAAAGTCAACTTTAATAACCTATAAACCAAAGGAAAAAAGCGATCTTTTCTGGTTTCCACCATCAAACGAGAAAGGTCCGCAATGCCCTTCAAATTAGCAAATATCTCATCATCAATCAAAGAGTGATAATAGGTTTCAAGTTGACCATCAAGATACACCCTTTCCAAAGCAGTAAAATCCGTTTTGTACAACTCACTTAGCTTCACCAACTTTGATTTGTCAAACATAGAAAATGAATTACAAGGACTCAAAGCCGACATATGATTCTAGCAAATCGATGCTCACTTCACTAAAACGGTTCCCAAACTCTTGAATTTGCATATCCAAAAACCGTGTTGAAAATATCAACTTCAAAGTGATGTTGATTAGTAATCTTGGTCCTACGGTTTCTTGGAGTAACATAACGTTCAAACATTTCCACAATTTTAATTTTATGTTTCTGACAAAAAGAAAATACCTTCTCCAATATTGAAGGAAATCCATTATTTCTTAAAGCTTTTAGCGTTTGAATTGTCACTTTCACCAAAGAAGCCGCTTCCAAAATATCTTTATCCTTTCTTTGAAGATGTCTTGACAGGGTATATGTGAGACCAAAAATCTCCAACATCAAGTGTAAATAAAAGAAAAAAATCAAGCGTCTTAAAATATGACAAAATACTGTACGCTTGATTTCTTTTATGTAAACTAGATCCCTCCTCTTCAACATAATTAAGAACCTTGACTACCTTCGGAAACAAATTCTTCAAACTTGTTATTGTTTTATAATGTGAACTCCATCTTGTATCTCCAGCTCGAAGAAAAAGGAAACAGAGGGTATCAAAAGATTAGGAAAGAGCAAAAAAAGAAGCGGTCACATCGATTAAGTTCCAACATCGATGTAAGGTGTTACCCAGATCTGCTCGTCATGAGATTTTCTTCTGAAACCCTAAATAACGTCTAAAACCCTAGAAACTATAAGGGTGGTAGCTGAAACCCTAATTTGTGAAGCTCCTTGAATCATCTATCTGTAACAGGAGCTTATGAAGA